TGGTTGACTGGCAAGCATCTTGTTTTTGTTTTTTATGCGGTATCTTGGACGTGCTCTGTCAGTTTTCATTAAAATTTGGCACATACAATGTACATGTACTTTATACATGTTAGGATGCATGTCCATGACAATTTGTTTCAAAATCTGGTCAAGGATGACCGATTGACAGCCATCTGACTTTTTGGCCTTACTACTATATTTCCACAATTTATGTACCATTTTCATTCGTATTTGGCACATACATCATACATATCAGTGTGCTTCATAATCAGATCAAAGATGGCTGAATAACGGCGGTTTTTATTTTGGCCATATTACTATGACACGAAACACGTGTTTTGATGTAAATAAACAATCTGTTGTATACGCCACTTGGAACTCAAGTTTCAAGGACACACTCGCGACAACCCCTCCGCTTTAATATGACCAGCACAAAGAGAACTTAACGGGGACTGTGTCATTTTCAATGACTTGTTATCTGTAATTTAATTAATATTGCAAGCAGATAAAAGATGTATAATAATGATGTTATTACAAGAATACTGTAAAGCATGTACTCGGGCAGTACGATAACTCATCACCTCCATCTCACCGTACAACCTTTGTGAATACTCTGCGGTTTTCTTGTAATATCGTCATAACATAGATCACTCACAATGTAGTTGGGTTATTAAAATACAGTGTATTTATTGTATTCAATATAACACAGTACTGGATAGAGAACAAATACCATGTATCGGTTATAAAGTCAAAGAATACCAAGTTCTTATTTTTATTGCGGTGCAAATATGGCACTTCAGATTTATTTGCAATAATTTTTTTTTTTGCAGGTAAATTTGATAAATTAATTATTTTATAATTTATATTTATTAAACATGAATTTTTTAAATCTTTTTTAAACCAATCAATGTTAAGATATTGTTCAATCTCCTCACTCACTGCTTCTGTCCATATACATCTATAAGTTACTGCCATACTATAGCCTATGCACAACTTTACAGTACCGTATTTGCTCAATTAAAAGAGTATTTTAGCAAAATGAACCATTTTTCACCCTAGCGCTTCTCAATTGGAGGCATGCCTCTATTAGAGTAAATCTGGTACGTGTTGGTTTAGTTTTTAAAAGGCATCCAATGGTTGGAGTAAGTAAACAACACTGAATAAACAGCATGGTAAATGCTATGTTAAATCAAAGTAGCTATGTACTGCGTGCGTGACTCGAACCAATGCACATGGATGGCACGTATTCGCCAGGCTGCATGCCACTGCGCATCTTCCGGTAGCCACCAGGCATTCCTAAAACCGACTCACATCAGTGTAGCCATACATTGCAACAATTGCTTGTATAAAATTATATAAATTGTGAAAGTAAGGATGTAGCATTAACCTTTTCACCACCAGTTTCCTCTTTTCATGACAATCTGCTCTTTCCTTTAGAAGATTGGGACAAAAATAGCCAAATTTTTTGCGTGAAAACTTAAAATTGACTCAAATTCTGTCTATTGGCTCCAAAATTAGAGTTCATTTCCAGAAATATTGAAGAATATAAAAAAAAAAAAGACTGGTGGTGAAAACTAAGTAGTACTGAGAGATAATTGTAAACTCATGACATAGGAATTAAATAACATTGAAAAGATGTAAATACTATGTAAAATCAAAGTGAACGTTGACTAGAACCAACTCACACATGCTGTACTACAACACTACGAGTGCGCAGCTAAGTGACACACAACAGGTGCATGCTGGGTATTTTCCAGGATTTCCATTAGCTTGCACTATAAATCATTATTCAGTCGGGGAAAATAATGCTCAAAATACTAGTTATGTCATCAAACAGCAATGTAAACAACTATAAGAAATTGTTATATAATATGTAAATGGACTTTTTTGCAATAAAATGCTTTGTTTTTATACTTATTTAAAGAATTTTGTTGATTCGTACATGTATTACTTGATTGATCTTTGTAATGATGCGCTTTGACCGACTGCTTCGCCAACATTAGTTTGGCAGAGAGGATTGTAATGGCACAGGGAAGTCCCATCATTTGTTTTCATGAGGAACTTTAGACTAAGTGTCCTTGAGTTGCACCATCACAGAATGCATTTGCCTCTTACGAGAGCATAGATGTTTGAATTTATGCGATAAGGATTGCAATCAATTTAACGTCATAACGAAGGTGATAAACATTGACCGACATGTTTCACTAAATTTAAAAAATATCAGTAACCATAATAATACTAAATATGAAAACTATATACTTTTTTGACACAAATAACACTGAATACATGGCAAGGTAAATACTGTGTTGAATCGATGTAAACTGAAACTCGCATATGACACCTAAATGTCGAGCTAAACATCTCCAGGTACCCCCCATGGAGAAATTTGAGAAATTAGCCATCTATGATTGCAGTTCACTGCAAGATTGCTATACTGGCCAATCAGGATCATGACTGAATGTATTCAAATATCAAATCCTGATATTGATTGGCAGCTCACAATCATCTGTCGCCTGGAATCCAGCCAATCAGAGTGCCTTTCCCAGTGCACTCAAGAATATTCTGGTATCTCGTTACATAAATACATAGACGGCACTAAATTCCTTATTATCACTGATTGGCACTCAAATGGTTAAGGCATGCTGTTGATATAATGCTGTTTAAATGTTTGTAATTAACAAAAACAGCTGATTTGCTTCCGTTGGTGGGAAATTCTGAATAAATAACGAAGGTTCTAGATACCTTGACTTAAAAAAATTTGCATTTTTTCAGCACAGATTTTGATAAATGTGTTTTTTCTAGGAAACCAAAGTAATATATGTGCTCTTTGGATATATATTTAGATCAGTTGTTTATTTCAACTGGTAATTTTGTATAAAATAAACAAAAGATTGTTCTTGAATGGTTGATAGATGGCGCTGTTTCATAACTTTGTGTCTTCATCATCTGAATTATTGTGTAGTTCATCATCCATCAACGACGCGGTGACGTCATCAAAACTGAAAGATGTCATGTAATCTTTGTCGTTTAATGGAAGACTAGTCCTGTTACTGGGTGAAAAATCGAAACCTTGGAAACCGGAATCTGGTGATTTCAGTTCAGGGGACGTGCATGTCACTTGATCAATTTCGTCACAGTCTGTGGAAAGAGGCTTGATTTCCCGTCCTTCATTTTTAAAATCGATAATAATCCCGTCAAATGACGAACTTGTACTTAAGGAACTCAAAGAACCCCTGTTCCCTCTATTCCCGCGTGTAATATTGGCAGATGGGTCAAAATTAAAGTTCGTGA